ATGCGTGTAGGTAACAACTCGTTGTCTTCACTCGCCACCACGGTTATGCCTCCCTTCTTCGACACACATTGGACGAGACTTACCTAAGAACTATCCGAAATGGGGTAAATCACTCCAGCGTCAAGCCATTTGAGAATCTCTTTCATCACAACTTGCTTCATGATTGGGTTCAATCTTCGCTGTGGCTCTATGGATTTTCCATAGCATTCTTCCAACAGGATTTTGTGCATGCAGATAGTTGGACTTATTCCCTTAAGATCTGCCATCGTCTATCCTAAAGCTCTCTTATGTTGTGACAAAACACTTAATAAACTAGATTCTTGGTTAGGAGTAAGGGCAGAGGAAATAATCACAGGCAAAGTTTCATTACTACCCAGATAAGCATATTTAAGATCCTATGGCAAATTCTTAAGTTCTAGGGTAGGAGCATGTTGTAACTAGGGCTTAGGAGGAACAAACTCTTCAAAATTCAAAGGTTCGAAATGCGTACCTGAGCTAGCTTTGAGTAAGCATGTTGTTCCTCAGTAGAAAAATCATTAGGCTCTCCAGCCTTCAAGTCTTCAAAAGCCCCTCATTAGGTCCAAGCTGAATGAAATTGTCCTGGCAAAATTGATATGCTTCTTTCGTGATTATTGTATCCACTTCTAAAATACTCTGACATTCTTCATAATCATCCATACTTGAGAGATCGGAAGACATTTACAGTGACATGTTGATCGACCACTCACATGGTTAGCTCGCCCCTCTCACAGTCGATGAGAATACGACCGGTAGCTAAGAAGGGTCTCCTAAGATGATGGGTGTGTGGTGTCGACCTCACAGTCCAGAATTAGAAAATCGACATGAAAAATGAATTTGTCAACCCGCACGATGACATCTTCAATTCGCCCTTCGAGACGCACATGTGAACGATCATCTAATTGCAAGATGACAGATGTGGGTCTCGCATTTCCTATCCCAATCTTAACTAAAATTGACTTAGGCATCAAGTTCACGCTTGAGCTAAGGTCACATAGTGCCTTCCCAACAAATTTGTCTCCTATAAAACATGGGATGATAAAACTACCCGGATCATGTCTCTTTGGTGGAAGCTTGCTTAAGGAAGAGCAAAATCTTTTGCAGTGATAATTGTCTCATACTGCTCAACCTTTCTCTTCTTGGTAAAAATTTCCTTGAGAAATTTAGCATATGTAGGCATATGTTCCATGGCTTCCAGAAAAGGAACATTGATTTGAATTTGACTTAGAATGTCAACGAACTTTCTGAATTAATATCCTCGTTATGCTTTTTTAGTCTTTGCGAAAAATGAGGTGGGGGTTTGACTTCCTGTACTGACGGTGTGTTAACATAAGTTGCCTTGGCATTTTTATTTGACCCCTCAGTTGCCTTACTTGATGAACCCTCAGCTTTGTTCTCTTCCTCTGGTGCTTCTTCCAGCACTTCGTGCTCAGCTTGCATGGTTACAGGGGGTGAATCATCCTTCGATTTTCCCCCAAACTTGTCTTCAACATTAATGTGTGTACCACTTCGTAGAGTTAGTACACTGCATTGCTCTTTGCCATGAGATTTCGTGACTTCAGTTTCACTTGACAAATGCCCTGGTTTGCGTTCTTGTAATGCCGCGCAATTTGACCAACCTGACTCTCTAATGCCCTCAGCGACGAACTGTGGCTCTGAAAGGGCCCCTTGATTTTTATGGAGGTCGCATGGTCTTACAGCATTGTCTTCATTGTTGCTATAAATTCTTGCATTGTGGCCTCCAAAGAACTGGTGTTAAATGAAGCTAGCCCTCCCTTGTTAGAATTATGTCATGGCATATTCGATTGAAAACCCTGGGAGTCATTGAAATTCTACTACTGAGCTGGTTGATGAGCATTGCTGGTTCCTTGATTTCCCCACAAAAAGTTTGGATGTTGACATCATCCAGGATTATATGTGTTGGAATAGAGGTTGTTGTTGCCTCGATTGAAGTTGCCTACATAATTGATGGATTCTTGATTGGTCAGACACTCACTCTCATTGTGATTGTCGTGGCATAATAAACATACTGAATTGGATGCTTTCACTTCTCTCACCTCACTTGGCCTTTGCAAATTCTTCAACATATTGGTGATAGCAGCAAGTTGGTCGGACACCGAATCTTTAGAATCTAGCTCGAAAACTCTATGTGATTTGCGCCCAAGTCCAAGCCTTGTGGATGGAAACTAATAATCATTGGTGGCAATCCTATCCATAATGTTAAATGCCTCTGCTGGTGATTTGTTGAGTAACGTCCCATTTGCCGAGGCATCTAGCATCATCCTCGTGGGTGCATTTACTCCATTGTAGAATATCACCACTTGTATCCAATCTTGAAAACCATGATTTGAGCACTTGCGAAGCAATCCTTTATATCGATCCCAACATTCATACATTGACTCATCATCAGCTTGACGAAAGGAAGTAATGTTGTTCATCAGTTGGGTGTTCATGTTCGGAGGATTATACCGTAGTAATTTTTTTTTGCACAGATCAGTCCTCCATTGAAACCACTGGAACGCCAATCAACCAAGCCCTTGCTCGGTCACGCAGAGAATATGGAAATAGCTTTAATTTTAGAACATCTTCATGCACTCCTTGTTGACGAAAAGAATCTCACACCTCCAAGAAGTTACGAATATGCTATCTGGCATCTTCATTTGACATGCCCCCGAATTTCCCTATAAAGTTCAGCATATTGAACATGACAGGTTTGAGCTCGAAGTGGACTGCCTGAATTTCTGGTGCCACAATTCCAGGATTTAAGTCATCTAAGATCGGATTTAAGTGATCACGAATGGCACGAGGCCTGGGTACATTCCTAGCAAATGGATTTGCCTCAGCATTCTGATCTTCCTCATGAACAATGCCTTGATTTCCGATTTGATACATATTTGCACGTTGAGCACGCCTTCTTCTCCTAAAGAGCCTCTCGATCTCAGGTTCTAATGGCTCGTTCGGTTGTCCTCTGGTCATACACCAAGAAAACCTGAAAAAGAAGAAAATTAAAAGGTAAAACTATATAAAAGAAATATAAACAAGTAAAATAAAAATGTTATGACAAAACAATTTAACTTCCAGTTGCCAATTCCCCGGCAACGACACCAAAAACTTGTCTGCTCTGTGTGAGTACTAAATATGGGTGCGGATATATGTGCAAGTATACACAATCGAACAAGTAATACAATGATAAGTTGAGTATCGTCTCCATAGGGAATTGAGAAAATCAAATAGATTTGTCAAGACACTTTACTTTGTCACCTAAGTAAAGTTAGTGATGGTATGTACAAATGATAATGATTTGGCAAAATAGAATGACTATTGTGGAAATGGAATGGTGATAGTGTGGTAGCAATTAGATATATCGTGGTAATTTAAATTATGATGAATGCAAACGAATGGAAATGTCAAAGCAAAAATAAAATGTAAATATACGAGTTAATTAATAGGAATTTGTCTTTCTACACGAAAATCTGCTATGGGAATTTGTGATAGGAGTCACTAAGGAAAATCTAAGTCTACTTCTCTGAATGATCTTCCTTCTATGCCTAGTCTACCCGACAGAGTCTACTGAGGTTCCCTATGCTATCTCTAGTAAGGGACTCGACAGATTGAAGATGCCCTGGCAAAACCGGTTGTCGTAAACCCCTGCAGTGATCCTATTTGTCCAGATAACAGGATATGTCTCGGCAATACCTTTTTGTGACATCATTAACATCTAAACTATCATTTATGCACAACTCTTTTTAGTCGAATGAAATCCTAGCCTTATCTCTAAGGTGGATTAGGCTTAGTTACTACCTATAACCCCTTTTTTATATAGTTCCTCCCTAGTTTCTCTCGAATACTAAGGATATTTTGCCAAGATATTCTCTCAAACCCTAAAAACCTCCTAAAAAAGGGTACTCTCATAGCTCCTACAACCTTGAGACATTAAGTTTCATAAACAAAACAGATTAAAGCATAGAAAACAACCATTCATTGAAATAAAAACTTAAACATCCAAGCGAACTCCCACCAAATAGGATTAGTTCATGGTGGGGTTCGAAATAAATAAGCACAAAGCAAGTTTCATTTGTTTCTTACATCCTTATAACAAAATATGAAAGCAAAGAACTAAGGGGAGGAGAAAAAGCCTTCGATGTGCACTGTTGGAGCTTCCCTCAGCCACCAAGAACTACCACCAAGAACTTCCCCTAGCGAACTAGCTCCTATCGGATGCTTAGAACGCCACTCCCTCGAGCTTGTCACAAAGAAATGCCACGGCAAGTAGGATTGACTGAGAAATGTGAGACCTTCTCTCTCTAACTTTTTAAGCTCAAATCAATGTGGAACTAAAGTCTCTAACATTATGGCTTCATCCTCTATTTATAGGGGAAAATTAATCCTAGGACTTGGTGTTAACTTTCCTAGAAAACCCCAAAACCATAGTTAAGTTGCTTGGGAGTCGGGAAGAGCAGTCTATGATACAACCTGGGTTGCTGACTGAGTGATCGGCATGATCCCGTTGCAGGCGCCCAAGGATAGACAGGATCTGCAGGGGCAGGCGGCGTCATCAGTAGAACCGGCGGTTGCAGTGTCGATCCCTCCAGATGAATCTTCAAGGCAGATTTCTAGGGTAGAGCTCTTGGAGAGTAGGAGAGAGCTGGTTTCAAAAATATCTTCTCGTACTTTGTACGCTTTTGAAATGCCAGTCAGTCTTGGTATTTTCATTATGCTCAGCAATCTCCTTATGTCACGTCATTTCCTTTCCTCTTTTCCTTGCTCTGAGTTCCTACACATCATCAGACAAGCACCTTTCCCATAAGGCAGCACCGCTTTAAAAATAAAATGTCGCGGTAAACTAAATTCCACCACATGCAATTAAATGATTCTAAATGCATCTACATGGTCCAAATGAGCTCTTAAACATTCAATAACTTAAGTGAAAAGGTCCCAAAATGCGACCTTTTACAGAGTTATCACTATTACTCACCATTTCAGGTTAAAAGAATTGTACCAGTGCAATTATCGACTTCAGTAAGGGAGTTCTTCCGACATTGTTTGCTGAGTATGGTACATGTGATTAGGGGGACATGTAATTGTATTTTGTTTTTTATACGAGTTTGAAAATCTGTTTTATTTCTGCATATTGATAAATCATTTTATAATTTCCATGTTTTAATAAAAGTTTTAAATTTTTCGTTATTTTTACAGTGGGTCTCTCCGGTGGCCCTAATGTGATACTCCAGATCGAATCGGGTTACCCGCATCATTCTGAGGAGGTTACACATAGCATATGCATGTTCATAACTATGGAACCATGAAATCAACCATAGGAAATAGACTTATCACAAGTCTTGTTTCCATAAAACAACATCTATACTATGACATGCAATCACCTTAGCCTCACTTAATCCAAATCAACTCATATAAATCGTTATCCCTCGATCGATCAATCTTAACTCATCAATTGTTCTGGAACTGGCTTATGTTCGATATCTACATCAATGTACATTTAATACGAAAATTAGAATTCTAAACCTTATGAATCAATCATTTTATAACCTAAGCTAAACGAAGTATTATTTCAAATTTCCATTTTGAGTAGTATAGGTACCCAAGGTATGGTACCGATACTTCATTTTTTGTGGTATCGATACCATGCTTTGGTATCGATAGCCTTTCCTGGTTCTGGAATTTCATTTAAAAAATTGTATCGATACTTTCCTAAGGGTATCAATACCATATGTATCGATACTACCCCTTAGGTATCGATAATCCTTGAATGACTTATCCACTTTTAGCTTCTAATATCGATACTTATAAGGGGTATCGATACTCCTTGAATGACTTATCCACTTTTGGCTTCTGGTATCGATACTTATTCATATAGTATCGATACCATCTCTCTAAATTTACCCCTTTTTCTCTTTGAAGTATCGGTACGGGATGAACAATACCGATACCCTTTGCCTAGAATTCACTTCTTTAACCTAAAAATTTACCAATACCTACTTAAATTTTCCATTTTGAACTCCTTTAATGCCATTAAACTTCGATACACTTACTCAAATCATCTTATGTTCATATAACACATTATTATCTTTAAAATCTCATCATATATCTTGAAACCTAGAATCCTACTAAATTTCCAACATGTTCAAATTTCATTTCTAACACTTCATACTTCTTAATCTAACTAATGACAAGTCAAATTTAATCTTAAACTTTACTTACTAACTATATTTCAAGATTTCATTTAGAAACTTATTATATTCAATCCTTCATAACTCATACTTCATTTAGTTTCTATCTCCTTTTAAGTTCCCATAATCTTTCTTAATGCTCCATCAATCAAAATAATTATTTAATTGCAAGAAAACTAGATGAAAATTCACACTCACCTTAGCTAGGAAGCTCACGTTGAAAGGAGGAAGAATAATGAAGATAGTTCTGGAAAATCTTTTTTCCCTTTTTCATATCTCCATGTGGTTATATAAACCACGATAAGGAATATTTAATTATTTACTTGTCAAATGACCATTTTGCCCTTTCATTCATCATTCTTTGTTATTTAGTCCTACATAAAAATATCTCACTTAAGTCCCTGAACTTTTCAATTTATCTAATTTAGTCACTAATTTGGTGGTTGGGATCTTACATACCACGTCTACTACAAGCAATGGAATTTTTATCCCTGGAACCATTATTAGGTACTATACTTATCCTACAGTCACACTTGAGGGAGACGTTATCCCCGGAATAGAATTTATGGTGGCTTGTTATGGGCGTTTAAGTCAACTATCGAAGGGTTAGATTTTGCAAACAAATGATTCAAGTCGATGTCACTTTTCTGTATGGGCTCTACAGACATTTCTTGATGATACTTGTTGCACAAGATGGAGACAAAAATATTTTCCCCATTGCATTAACCATTGTTAAAAATGAATCGGAAGAAACTTGAAATTTCTTTCTCTCAAACTTGTATTCCCATATTGTTACTCAAGATGGGGTTTGTATGATCTCATATCGGTCGCCTGGGTTGTTAAGCACAATTTCTAAACCCAAAAATAGATGGACGACTCCGCACGCATATTCTGCCTATTGTATACGTCATATTGCATCGAATGAAATGAAGAGGTTTAAGCAGAAAAAGATAAATAAAGATTATCAACAAGGGTAAGTATTATATCATTTCTCATCATTTATTTCTGCTTCATTTATGTTTTTTTTAATTTACCAATAACATTTAATTTACTGCTTTTTAGGGTATGCTTTACTCCAACCAAACATCCGAGCACGACTTGAAAATTTGAGAAGATAAGGAGACGATGTGTATGAATTTACAACTGAAATCCCTAGCGAGAGATGGTCACAAGCATATGATGTTCAAGGTCGACGTTACGACCATATGACTACCAACCTTGCTGAATGTATCAACTCAGTGCTGAAAGCGACCTGACATCTCTTGATAGCAAGTATTATTAGGGTGACTTACTTTAGGTTGGGTAAAATATGGGTAGACAAAAGTGTACAAATTGATGCCATGATTAACGATAGGAGAAATTGGGCTCCAGATTTAGAGAAAGCAATGAAAAAGAATCAAACACATGCGACATCGATGTTTGTCCATAATTTTGCCATACTTGATTCTGATTTCGTTGTCCAAGCACTAGTTCGACCACATGAGGGAGGCAATTCTACAACATACACTAGTAATTTAAATAGAAGATGGTGTGAACGTGGTCGATTTCAAGCTTTTAGGTTCTCATGCGCTCACACTGTTGTTGCATGTATGCACATCAATGTTGACCCATACATATATGCTGATGACTGTTATAGCTTGCACACTATGCACAACATTTACAGTTGTGAGTTCAAGTACCTCCCAAATGAAGCATACTGGCCTACATGCACAATTTCTGAAGAATGGTTGTCAGATTCTCAATTGCGTAGGAAGTTATGGGGTCAACTTGAATCTAGCTAAATTCATACCAATATGGATGATCCACAAAGAGAGCCAGGTCTACCCAAACTTTGTGGCCACATCAAAGGTGAAGGTCAAAACAGAAAACATTGTCCACATCTTCCAAAATATCGAGCTGGACGCTAAAATAGGCGTTACAAAATATTATGTACTTTAACTATGAATTTTTTATACTGTAATTATGTCTTTTTTTAATTATGTTTTTTAACTTGTATTATGTTGAACCATGTTTTGTAATATTTTAATATAACAAATTAAGGAAAAATGTTTTTGGACTTAATTGAATTTGCTCAAAGTCTTCAAAAGTTTTCAAAAAATAATTCAAAGTTCACGTATGAAATACCGATATATTTTGACAGTATCGATATTATATGAACATTATCGATATTGTTCATGTAGTACCGATACCCTAAGTAAGAGAAATATCAATACTATCTAGGTAGTATTGATACTACCAACTTGCTCAAATTCCAGAATGCAAATAGGTATCGATACCCAAAGATACAACTTTACGTAGTAGTATCGATACCATGGTCACAGTATCGATACTGTCAGTCCCAACGGCTAGTAACGACTAGTTTTATTTAAAAATAATAAAGGAAGTACTGATACTCATAAAATGAGTACCGATACTACTTGTACTTTTATAAACTGCACTAAATGTAAATGAAATTTTTGTAATTAAATTTTATTACTTATCAATGATTTTTTATACAATTAAATATTGAGTACAAAAACATAAATAAACAAATTTTTTACTTATATTTGCACAATTTTTACCGATGTCGAGGAGTGGTATAATAGTAATGACGTGGTGCTCGTCGATTTCGTCGTGGTCGTCCACCTTCATCTTCTTTCTCTTCTTCCGGTTTCGGTGTACTGAACATTACTCCACCACTTTGATTTACATCTTCGGGTGAAAATGATGGAGTATTCAAGGTATTTGACGCTATCATTGACATCATTGCCTCAAATTGAGATTGTCCGTGATGAAGAAGATTATCCCATGGACCTCTTTCTTCCAGTTTTGAGGAAAATTGTCGTGAAGGCGACACTTGATCCTACCTACTTCCTTCCCATGCCGCTTGACTCTCCATCGATGGTTGATATGCACCATATCCACCATAACTTTCCTGCGATTGATAATAATTGGCGGAAGCATAAGATGAAGATGTTGATGAAAATTATGATTTTTTCCATATTTTTCCTTCATTATTTCCTACTCGGACCCCTCCTCCGGCATTGTCAAGTATAGTTTCCTATATGCTTCATAATTTTGGAGGTAGAGAGAAACATTGAAATCAAAATCTTCGAGTTGTACCTTGGAACGATTAGGCAATCGTAAATGTTTATTTTGCCATTGATGTATGAATATAGCATGCTCATCGGCCAATCTTCGCTATGCTTCCCACGCGCATCTATTTTATGCAAATCGTTAATATTAAATATGAACATTTCTATTGGTTGGCGAAACCCAAATTGTTGCAAAACTCTATCGGTGGCATGGATCTCACAATTGTGAAATGGAGCAATGATATTACGGCACACCATGTCTCTGCTCCTTCAAAGAACATTGGCGGTAGACACCGCTGGATATCCCACTCATAATAAGGCATCCAATAAAAATGTCAAAAGTATTATTTTAGTATAATTAAACAATTAATATTACAATTTCAAAGTTGATACAAAAAATATTAAAATTTACCGCATGTCTACCGACGATATCAATCCTCATCTGAATATCTACTTTGGTTGCATCGATAACTTTATATCGGTTATTCGGTGTCGTCATCTAAAAATACATTATTTACTGTCATTTTCAAAATATTTAAATAAATATTATAAAATATCAAAACTTTAAATATATGAATTTACCTTACAGGGAGAGGAAACTCCATATGAGCAGATATAATAGGCGTCATAAACGGGAGACGGTACCACACCCATGATTGGAGCAAAACTAAACAACCCGCTACATCCTTTTTTTTCTTCTAACGACTACGGTCGCCTTACAGAGTTCACAATACAAAAAAACCAAAATTGCATTACTCCAACTATATTGGCGACATACAGCGAAATCCTCTATTACCAGAAGATATTGGGTGTACACCAAATTGCCCTATTAATCTGGTAGCAAGATCCCTCAAATCAACGTCATAAGATATGCTCGAGCTGCACATATCACCTCTTACTCCGTTAATTTATTCATCTACTCTAAATTCTCTTTCCAACCACGTCATCTGTATCCGCAACCCATCAATGACATTCGCTGGAGCCTCATTTCCCAATAAATTTGAAATAACAACATTTAGCGAATAAGTGTTGCGAAGCACCAATGACATACCATTAATCGGAACGCCAAGTTGATACGCGACATCTTCGAATGTTATCGTCACTTCACCATAAGAAAAATGAAACATATGAGTTTCGGGCCTCCAATGGTCAATCAACGCCTATATCAGTGCCGACATCACCTTAAATCCGCGAAGAAACATCGCTCCATATAATTCGGATTGTGAAAGATATATCATCATCCGCTCATGTGGCTCTTCATTCGTCATTCCTCGATGACGAACAGTTCGTTCTTCTCGCTACAATTTGAAGAAAAATTATTTAATATAATTACATAAATAATTATTATTAATACTATAATTTTGTCAAAACTAAAATGAAATGAAACAAATTAAATTTACCGCAGTTAACTCGGTCGACGAAATATGAACATCATCAAGACGTAACATTTTTTCTGTTGAGGCCATTTCAACACAAAAGGTTTTGCTCTCAATAGAATGTTTGATTTCAAGTGAAAAATCAATTCAACTCAAACCTCTATTTATACTACTCTACCCAACGACTATAAACGACTAGTTTTTTCAAATTGAAAGTAGTCGTTGGAACTCGTCACGCCGGTGTGACAAGTTCCATTGAATTTTTTTAAAAAAAATTGTTCGTTCAACAATGATCAACCCAACAGTTAACAAATTCAAAATTATACCCGTTGGAACTCGTCACGTCGACGTGACGAGTTTCATCAACAATAAAATAATATTTTTTCAATGCTTTTAAAAAATTCAAAAAAAATATTTTTTTTTTGTAACTCGTCAAATAAAATATATTAAAATAATTCGACCTGTGAGACCCACGTGACACGACCCATTAAAAAATATATCCGCTCACCTGTATTATTTGCCCCATTTTGCCATAATATGACCAAGTGTTGTGTATATTAGAGAGAGAGAGGGGGAGGGAGAGAGGGGGAGGGAGAGAGAGGGAGGGAGAGGGAATCAATAAAATAATATTTTTAATGCTTTTAAAAAATTCAAAAAAAAAATATTTTTTATTGAAACTCGTTAAATAAAATATATTAAAATAATTCGTGTTGTGAAATCCACGTGATACAGCCCTTTAAAAAATATATCCGCTCACCTGTATTATTTGCCCAATTCCGTTATCATATGACCAAGTGTTTTGTATATTAGGGAGGGGGAGGGGAGGGGAGGGAGAGGGAGAGATGTCATATTGAAAGCGTTGATAAAATGTGGAATGCCCGAAGACAACCGACGTCTCCTCGGCAGTTGCGAAAAGAAGAAGAAAAGAGCGAATAGCAGCATGTGCCTTTTTGCTATATACCCCATGCCATTTGCTTTGATAATTTCAAATATAAAATTGAAATTAAAAGTTAAATAGGCAATTTTTAATTATTGATTTAAGAGATTGAATCATATAGAATATCTATAATTTAGGACTACTATCGATATTTTACTAGTTAAATTAAAAGTTAAATAGGCAATTTTCGTTTATTAATGTGTCCTTGCTAGCTAGATGTCTATCCTCGGGAAGTTTGAGAAATATTAACTTGCAATACAAAGTTTAAAATTCAATTTGTCCTACAAGTCAATGGAGCGATTCACGGTCTTGCACAATTTAGTTTAAGTTGTAATAATTTAGTTTTTATCGAATATGAATGTCACATTTCATCACACCTTTGATGCAAGACTCAATCTCCATTGATGGAACACCAATACTTAACTTTCCGATGCCTTCCCTTTCCTCTTTGCCAACCACTTTTGATCCCAACACTTGGCTCATCGAAGCTAATTTCTATGGCCCCAAAAAAGAAATGGAAAAGGTGGGTTTTGCTCGGGAAGATTCCAAGCTTCTGTCGGGGCTGCAATTTAAGGATCTCCGGTTGCCTGGTTTTGGTTAGCTTGTAGGGATTTCGCAAAATGTGAGTATAAAATTTAGCTCCATTCTAGACTTCCATCCTTGCCAGTTATTAAGCTATTTTTCTTATTCACAAAAGATAAATATTTCGTTTTACACGAGTCCACTGGAGATACCCACAAAAGGAATGAGAAACGTGGGTCGTCAAAATGGCTTCTTTACACGAGTCCACATGGAAGAAAGTTGATATTTTTGAAGCTATCATGAATTCAACATACCATATACAATGATTTGGCTATTTGGGGTTGCCAAGAAATGGTGCCATGAAACCAAAAGCTTCGTTTTCCTATAGGGCAAAGCGTCGGTTACATTGGAAGATATCATGGTAATAGAGGGTTATTCTATTTGGGGTCCCCTATTTTTCGCCCTTGTTGAATCGCATGAAATGGAGATATAAAAGAAACTCGATAACTTGAGGATAGAACTCAACAGAAGTTCACATAGAAAGGTCAATCAGAGTGTATGGTTGAAAAAATTTATGAACAATGGTAACAAAATCAGTGAATTACTTTTTTAATCTCTCTGATTTTGTCTAATTCACTCATTTAACAAGTAATAAAATTTATGAACAATAGTAAGTTCAATAAGAAAAAATGAAAACTTACTCGAAGTTTAGTGACTATTGATATAATTTACCCTGTAAAAATTTTAATTTTATTACTTGTTAAATGAGTTAATTAGACAATTAAAATAAATAATAAGAAATGAGAAGATAATTACTATAAAATATAAAGATAAAATCTTAATAATCTTTTTTCACTCATCCATTATAAAAAAAATATATCATATCATGCGTGCATCTTTAATGCTGCCAACGATGAAATAAAGCAACAGAAAATGATCAGACAACATACGATACGATACAAGTGTAAATTACATTCTAATAATAATAATACACGAAAGGGTTTATTCAACATAAGAGAATCCATCCAGCTTTGAGTACCCACAAGCTTAAACGAATAAGAAACCAGAATCATTATAATCATGATCCTCGTTGTTCATACCAACCCAGCCTCAAAAATGGGATACAACTGCCAATTTCACAACATGATGGCGCATCATTAGGCTTATGGGTGAACTTTAACACAAAATAATAGCCATGGCTGCAACTCTACCAGGGTAACAGCAAGCTCAGTAGTCTCAAGGGAAATCGTGATGGGAAGAAATGCGTAGCAGGATCATAGAGTCGACACTTTAAAACGCATGTGGACTGAAGACTCTGCATCTCAAAATTATGGTCGAGAAGGCTCCTGAATTTGAATTGACGTTTTCGCTAAGCTTGCTTCAAGTTCATCTAATTCATCCATGTCTAGTTCATCATCATCATCATCATCAGGAACAGCTTCGGCATCAACAGCAATTATTGCTGAAGTACTTGGTCCAGCAGCAGCTGAATTATTGGCCTGAATGCAAAACAATAAATATTCAGCATTAACTAGTCCCACACCTATCAATACGCCAAAGGCATATCAGTGGCAAAAGCGTAGGATTTAATGCATGCATTCCAATTCTATCCGTGAACCAATCATATTTATGAGTTTTGTGCATAATTTCAGTCGCTATAAAGGGGGCCAAAAGTTTTCTATAAAGGTGACAACAAACAAGAAGCCGCACTAGATATGACCACCACGATCAGGGAGGTGCTCATTATCAACCCAGCTTGGAGGATCAAGCCAGGGAAAGGTGAGGAACATAAAAATTCCCAGTAGCAGGGACAGTTTTAAGCTGCTTCGGGATGGTATATTTCAAAAAAGAAACTTTTTACCAGTCATTACTCCAATTTCCTTAGACCAAGTTCTCATGTTAGTTTTACATCACTTTCATTGTCAAAAATATGTGGAGTTGTGGCATGATTCTGGTGGTGTCAATATTGTAATTCGTAACTTAGCAGCACTTGAAGTAGCATAATAGTAGTTGTCATATTTTCCTTCTTAAAGAAGTGAACAGAAATTTTTGAATCCTAAAATTACGAAAATCTTATTAAGAGTCTATTACTAGTGACTAGAGGAGCTTCAAGGAACATATGAAAAATGCCAAGCAAAAGAGTACCTTATTTTCAGGAGCATCCGACTCTTCATCCCTTTGGTATTTTTCATATGCCTCTGCATCATCCACAAATAAACTAGCATCTGACAGAAATAGTTCACGACCGCTGCACAAACCCCAGGAAGAAATTTAGAATTTGATTTTCAAGAAAGAAAACAGATCCCTATGTTACTTGGAGCATTTAATACGGGTATGTACCCAAGACTAGTATGGTCAGATTTTTCTAAATTTTTTCCACGTATTTGGAGGATCATTGGAGGTCATATACCCATATCCATTTGGACACAGGTACCTCAAGAAGAATTAGTCTGAGAAACATATGCATAAACTTTTTATTTATAAATGCTCGTGACGGAAAACATGCCATGAAGTGCCATACCTCATACGGTCATTCTTAGCCCTTTCTGCTCTCTGTGCAGCCAAACCTTCATCTCTTTCTGCTATCTTCTTCTTCTTCCATTCCATAAATAATTCAGGAGTCATAGGAGTTGAAGATTTTAATTTGGCACGCTACAGACAAAGACGCAGAATGTTAAGTTAATGTAAAAATACCAATGAAAATAAAGTAACAATATATGTTGATGGAAGGATGGAGGAATATCAGGGTGATTCCAGCAAATCTAATTATTACCTGATTCTCAATCTCATCCTCAATTGGTGTTTTTTCACTCTCTTCCTCTATCAAAGCTTTCATCTGAGACTTCAGGACATATCCTGGGGGAAGAGCATGTCTGTAATGACATTCTTTACCACCATTGGGGCAGACCCAAAACCAACCATATTGTTTCTTTTCCACAGCTTCTAAAAAGTATTTACAAACCTGCATTTACATCTAAATCAGTTCCAAGCATAGTAATTCAAAGGGGCACCAAAGACAAGAACATCTCAAGTAACATCTAAACCCTACAATTAGCGCCATGGCCAACAGATGTTACCCCTCTCCCCTTATCTTCTGCATATCTAATTAATGTTTTTCAAACAGGAGAATCTCAAAATATGTATTCAGATGCAAATCTTCAGATTATAACAAAGGACATGCTACACTATCTTTTAATTGGCTATTGGCCATGATAGATGAAATTCCCACCAGGGTCCAGAGTTGGAAGGCTTGACTTTCACATATAAATTAGTAAGTAAATGCATTTAACAAAGAGTTCAGAAGAATATAAGATCTCGCACAATGATCAAAATGCAAAGGATCAACAGCTAAAGCTTACAATATCAGTAGGCTTATTCTGCTGATACTCCTTCCCCTTTGACTCCACAACCTTCTCCAAAGTTGCCTGATCCCAGTCTTCCATTGTTCCTTAAAGAAAGAACCAAAAGTATAAATCAGAACACCCTTCAATCCTATGTGATAATTAAGTAGATAAGAATCAGAAAATATAGATTTTCGAATGAGGATTAACCTTGATCGCGCTTATCACTGTAAATGTCAATCTTCTCGCCTTTCCTCTGAACATTCAGGTCGTGTGAGAACTTGCATTTAAAACCTTTGGCGCATTGCCCCGCTTTATAGAATTCACATAATATTGACTTGGGATCAACACCTGCACAAGACACAACTATCAGCTCTACTCTTTCAATTCCCAATAAACCAACCGATGTAAACACATTTAAGAACTTAAGCTACTAATAACAATGAAGAAACAAAGAGTAAAAGGCCGGACAATTACCAACAGGCACTTTAGGCTGAGTAATAGCAATCTTGAACAACTCATTCAGCTCCTTCTCCTTGGTCTTCTCTTCCTCTTTCTTTTTCTGAAATAAAAAAGAAATGGCAAGAAAAATATTATTTCAATGCCCCAGATAAAATACCAGAAGAAGGTGGAAAAAACACACAATATGCTTTGCACCTTTCTTTTTTCATCTCCTTTCAAATAGACAACCCCTAAAGAAGCAAAATTTCCAAGCTTAACAATACAAAATTATATCTTTCATAAAAAGTAATCATTTAAATGAAAAAAAAAATCTCCAGAAATTCAGATTCTCCTAAACAACACAATAAACAGCTAGAGAGAGAAATCAATCATAAAAACAGTATTTAATCAATCATAAATGAGTAATCAGGAGAGGATCGGAACATTTTGAGCGGTTTTACTGGGGTCGGGTTTGGGTTGCACGGATTGCTTAAGATTTTGGACGTATTTTTGAACATTTTTGCTTTTGTTCTTGTTTTTGAGACCGAATGTCTTGTCCTCTACGATCTTCTGCTTCTTCGCTAAATCTGCTTTTGAGGCTTGCTTGGGCGGCATCGCTTATCACCATAAAATCCAACCGTTCCCTGTTTTTTCACTTAATCGATCGATCAGCAATCTGATTGATTCGATTATTATTTTGGATTGAATTGAATTGAATTGAAAGGAAATTTTTGGGGAAATTTGGACAAGGTTGGGGATGGGATTGTTCGAGAAGCTACTGTTGGGTTCATGAATTGTCGGTTTTAGCCCTGCTTCTTGTTGACGTGGATGATTTCCGTGGCTATATATTTCCTGTTAAAAGCATTCAAATTAGGCACACCCACGTATATCTACAAATAAAATACCTAAATTTTATAATAATAAAATAAAAGAAATCCGAGAAAAGCTTGGGCCTTCGAATTGAAGGACCCACAAGATCTTTTTTATTATTCAAATATATTATTTTAAAAAATATTTATGAAAATGCTAATTACTTATGAAAAGTATATTTATTTTTAACCTGTAATGTAAATATGTATCTCGTCAATTATATTTTTGAAAATTTTATTGATAATGTACATCTTTTTATCTTATGTGACATATTAATTTACATACATCTCAATTTATATATAAAAAATTAATTGACTAAATACGTGTTTTTAAATTTAAAATCTATTAGTAAATATTGAAAAAAGCACAAACAAAAAAAAATAAATATTTTCTTCATTTATGACGACCCTCCACTTTTCCTACCCATAAAAATCCTCCAACCAGTAAAAAAAAAGTAAAATATACAAATGATGACTAATATAAAATATACAAATGATCATTAATATTTATATAAATTTTTCTTTTTTCATAGAAGTTTCAAAATTAGTAAATTGATCACTAAAGTTATTGGTTTGTAACAAATTACTTGTTTTACATTAACAACCGTTGGCATGGGTGACGAAAAATTTACTTGACCTATTCATTGCTTACCTAGATCGCTGACCGTCACGGTAGAGAGTACATTTGACATTGAATGCTCATATCATGACATTTTTGTTGTTGTCTAAAAATTTATTTTTTTAGCATACAAGGCCCTGTTTCATCACCCATTTCCAGTCCAATCTCTGCTTCAATGGCTACCTTCTCTCATGGTACTTCTTAGTTGCACTCCCATTCCATTTGTTTCCACTGTGTTTACTAGTGATGAAGACGTTGCCATAATGCCATGTTTCATGCTTAACAAAAACAGCAGGGATTCGACTTGGAAGTGAAGAGCACACAAGAATGGATCTGACCAAGAACATGTTAATAGCTTTCATTATTGTTTGTTCTTCATTGGGTGCAATCATCTCTTCCTTGTTTTGTTTATGGGTTTATTACATGAAGGCTTCAAGCAAATCCTCTAAAAATGGTGGTAAGACCTCAGGTAAATCTTCTTTTAAGCCAAAACCCACACCTGTTTTACTTGTTAGTTCCGGAAATTCTAAGAATTGTCTCCTTTGTTGTCGAAGATGGAGAAAAGGGAATGGCTTGGCACCATTTCTACGTAAATTCAAGTCTCTGAGGACGGTTTCCAAATAGGATAGTGCTTCGTTTATGGATTACAATATGCTTGAAAAAACTACGAATAAATTTCATCCACGTAATATTATTGGTGGAGGTAGAGTTGGATGTGTTTACGAAGCTCAATTCAACGATGGTTCTTTTGAGGCTGTTAAGAAATTGGACTGTACAAGCCAAGACGCAGAGAAAGAATATGAGGTATCATTTCAGCAGGAACACTCTGTGTTTTTGCAGAATTCATCTGTCTTTTATGTTGAGTTTTTGCTTTGAAATTTGCAGAATGAGGAGGGATTTTTATGTAGATTTAAGCATCCGAATATCATTTCACTGTTGGGTTTCAGCAGTGACAATGACACAAGGTTTATTGTACCTTTTTCAGCAGTCTCCTGTGGTAAGATAAAAAAGAAAATGAAGACAGAACAAGACGTTGACTTTAGATGATTATGAAGCTAGAAAAGGGGGTTTGTATTGGAGTTACTTCTGCAATTATTCTATATAAAGAACCATGGAAAAATAATTAAATTTAAAAAAGAAGTTAAGAGAGAGAGAGAAAGGTGGCAGTAATTAGTTGAAGCCCAAGTTAATGGGCTCTTTAGTGTCGCGGTCAACGATTAAGGTAAGTAGTTAACAGATTAGATAAGCTTTCTGTCATTCATGTTGACGATTATATATTAAGTGATCATTTTGATATAAATCAATCTGATTAATTTATTCCTTTTAAAACTTCAATGGAAAAAACAAAAATTTATTAAAATATTAGTGACCATTTTTAAAATTTACCCTAAGAAAAACATAAATCTCTCCCCTCGGGGTTACGGGTAACGTTCCTTACTGTTGTTAATAAGCGTCCCGAGGGAGGTATGGAAGGGTAACGTTGCTGTACTTGTTGTCTTCTTTTTGTATGTATATATTTTTGAAATTTTTGAAAGTATGCAAATTATTTATGGATAAAAATAAAAATTATATTTAAATGTAATTAAAATTTAATATTATAATATTAATAAAAAGAAAACTATCCTATTATAATTAACATAATCGTAAAACATAATATCATCAATGACTTCTACACAAATAAATTATATAGTTTGGTAATTATAGGTTACACATAGAATTTCTTTCTAACATTATCGATAGTATTTACAACACTGCCTGTGTTACAATATGTTGATCGTATGAATTCATTCATCGATATGTCTCTGTAATATGAAGATGGAAAACTTGTGAATAAAAGGATCGTAAAAGATCTAATAAAACTTGTGAAATCTAAAATATGTTATGGATGATCATATTTATAGAGATTCGACTATCATTAGACCCATTTGATGCATTTTCAAGTAATAAGTTGCACAGACCAGCCCATTTTGCAACACTCCTACATGGTAAAACACGACCATTGATCAAGAGACCTAATTAGAGTGAAAAATAGTCTAAAATAATGATACGCTCATCACACAGAAGATAAAAGGTGTGTCTTTGGTCTTCATTTCTCTATGAGTGTAGAAGTAAGTGATGATTGCGACTTACAATCTCCGAACACCATATATACAAAGAAATTTGATTTATCATAAGTACTCTATAATGACTACATGTGACTTCTGTTCATTGTGAATAAACGGATCCAAAATACGACCATCATCGTGTTAATTTAAAGATAAATATATAACTGTTTATTAAAAATATTATTTAAATAATAATTAATAACAAAATTAACTTCCTTAAATTATTTGGTTGATAGTATAGATGTGTTTCATGTTCAATCTAAATATTTTTAATTACAAAATACATTAACTCGACATATTAAAAAAATATTATTACAGTCAATAATCTTTAGAGCAAATGGTTAAAAACTCTCGGTTAACACATTCTCTCTCCTAGATTGTGAGTTCAATACTAATTAGAGGCAAAATTCCCCTCTCTCTCTTCATTGGAAGCAAAATTCTCCTATCTCTTCTCCTAAGTAGTGTCGTAACCGGTTTTCGTCCGAGCACGAATTTTTTTTACTTGGCGGGAAAAATAATGTGAATAAATGGTTTTTAAAATAAATTTGAGAGTCGCCATCAGCCTTTTGGGTCAGGTAGGTCGAATACCTAAAAATTATCTTTTAAAAGAGTTTTTTAAGAAAACATCAGTTAAAAGATGAACTGATATGCGTTTATAACCAAAAATTCTTTCTTTTTAATAATAAAAAGGGATTCGTGGTCGGTTACGTTTAGGGAAGGATTAGCACCCCTACAACGCCCAAAATTAGTACCTTTTAATTATAAATTGTCTCTATTATTAGAAATTTAAAAATTCAAAATATATTTAATTTATAATCCTATTATTTCAAAATTATAATTATATAAAATAAATATTAATTTATATATTTATAAATACAATATTTATTTATTTAGAAATATCATAAAAGAACTTTTAGGTGCCTTAAGACAGCTCTTTTCTTCGATATTAAAAAAATAAATAAAAAATTAATATATAATTTTAAAAAATAGGATATTTATTTATTTAAAAATATCAGAAAATGGACATCCAGTTGTTTTAAGACTGCCATTTCTTAATATTGAAAAATAAATAAATATTAAAACAAGATTAAAATAAGTTAAAAGTAATTAAATAAGATTTTAATAAATAAAATAAATATTATAAATATATATATATTTATGGCTAAATAATAATAGTAATAATAATTAAAAGTAAACATATAAAATTAACATATAATGAACAAAATTAAAACTATATATTTTAAAATAAATAAAACTTATAAAAATTGAAATTAGTGACTAAATTATAACTTAATAGAATTAAATACCTAATTCGTAATTAATTATTTAAAATTACAGGGATTAAACATGTTATTTTATCCATTTATTAATTTGGTGACTAAAATAAAATTATATTAAATTCGAATATCAGATTAGAATAAATTAAAAATATGTACTCGGGATTAAAATATTAATTATTAAAATTAAAGGACTAAATATGTTATTTATCCCAAACATATTATTTAATATAAAGGACTAAAATAAATAAAATTAAAAATAAAGAACCGAATTAAAAGGATTATAAATTGATTTAGTGACTAAAATGTAAGGATTACAAACTTGGAGCACTGCGGATAGGGTTTACCATCTTCTCAAAACGCACCGTTTCATCATGAAACGGTGCGTTTTGTATCGGGTATAAAATACCCCAAACGGCTGGCCCTTCGGGCCAGCTCTCATTTCTCCTCATTTCTCTTCTCTCTCTAGCTGAGAGAGAAGAGAATTCTCTCCCTTCTTTCTATTATTTCCCTCACCGGAGGGAACACGGTCTCCGACCGACAGCCGTACTCTGGCGCCGAACACCGCCGCCGGCCACCGTCAACAGTGGCCGGAAATTTTTTTAAAATACCCTAGGATATAAATCTCATCGTTCTAAGGCCGAATCCGGCATCTATTTTCCCCAAAAGTCCCTGGAATTTCCTAGATATAAGAAAATACCTTCGGTATTTTCAGTACTTCGGCGATGTTTGGTGTTCTCCGGTGGTTCTGCTTTCTCGGTAAGGGTTTCTCCTCTCTTTTCTCTCGATTTTTTTTCTGGTTGCTTCGTTGTTGTTGACTGGGATGTTTGATATATTTTTTTGCTCTTGTTTCTGTTTTTCTCCGGTTCTTGCTTGTTGTCTTTTTGCTCTCCGTGGCTGTTGGTTCTTCTGTATCTTTGCTTGCTGTTGTTCTTTTTTTTTCTTTCGCAGGTATGGTGGCCATTTTTATAGGCCACCACGGTGATGGCTTTAGACTGGTTAAAGGAGTAAACTTTGGTGAGTCACCAAACTTGTGGTGACTCACGGAAGAATGGGACACGTGGACGGTTGGAATGACTCTTCTGGGGGCTTCGACGGGCATCGTGGCAGCTATTGAGGACGGCGACATTGTAGTTGAAGCACCTGGCAGTGGAAACGTCGGTAGCGTTAGTTGGACCACCTAGCAGCAAAGGATAAAGCGGCTGCTCATCTTCCCAACGGCGGCTGGCAGCTTGGGGAAACCCTAGAAGGGTTAGGGTTTCTCAACCGGGTTGGGTTTGCATTTCTTTGGGCTTCAAGATTTGTAAATGGGCCTGTAAAAATATTTATTAATAATAAAATAATAATTATTATAATAATTATAATAATAATATTAATAATATAAATAATATTCAAATGAAAAAAAATGAGTATCTTCAGCTGCCCCTCTTTGTTTATTCTTGTGTTAACAAGAATAGAGCAAAGACGAAAAGATAATAAGTTTTTTCATTTGACTTCACTTGATTATGATGGGAATGTTGAAATAATTCTTCTCTGGGATTAGTTCTTCTCATTATGAACTTTTCCACTGGGGATGATAATTTGTCTCCTTTTGTGATGTAATTTAGAAATGTTGATGCTGATCTATCTCTTTCTGTGATAGAATCATACAAAAGATTGAACAAGTTCTTCTCATTATGAACTTCTTCTTCCTTCTTCAGATGAGTTCTTCTCATTATGAACTTTCTTTGGAAAAGTTGATGCTGATCTATCTCATTCTGTGATAGAATTATGTAAAAGGTTGAACAAGCTCTTCTCATTATGAACTTCTTCTTCCTTCTTCAGATGAGTTCTTCTCATTATGAACTTTCTCTGGACAAATTAATGTTGATCTATCTTTTTCTGTGATAGAATCATGAAAAAGATTGAACAAGTTCTTCTCATTATGAACTTCTTCTTC